TAAATGTAATTTCAAATTAACTTCTCCCCATAGGGAGTACTAAATCAAATCCTTGGGTTTGTTTCGGGCAGGCATATTGCAATAAGCGAATACTCACCTACTAGCCGATTGTAAAACATACCATGTACGCTTGAGTGCATATTGAACGGAAGCATTCAAGGCCAATCATACCCCCGGAAAGGCAAGTGCATCTGTTGATGGGTGCTTGTTGTGGAGAGCCATAGGACTTCCTGTTTCCTCGGTAGTAGCGTACATATTGACGGAACAATTAACACATTTGAAGTATGCGAACAATTTGATAATTGCGGTTTTACTGCAATGTTTTCTTTCTTGCGACGAATGAATTTCGTATTTCGGACGACGTCAACATTTTGTGTAGGAGTTTTGAGATTAAATGTGGATGACGTAGGAGATAAAATACCTGACCACACCTTACACTTTAGCTATCTTAGGTGTTACCGAGTTTACTGGAGACGTCGTTCAGCGGCTACAGTTTTGTCTCAAGTCATGAAATACGAGTTTTGAATTTTGCAGTGCCATAAAATGACGTCAAAATTTTTTAACCAAACTGCTGGAAAGCTTTGCGTTGATGCTTGCTTCTTAGTCAATTTGTAAGCGTGTGATTCTTGGAATTTACTAGCAGCGAAACGTACACAAAATGGTTGCCGTAAAACGTCGACTTGTCCCAGTTTTATAGTCTACGGTCGAAGTACGTTGTGTAAATTTCTCGTTCATGGTTTGACGACTACGCACTTCTAAACAGTCGCCAGGTACCTTCTATGTTTGCATTTTTTCTCTTTCGTTATGAAGTGCATTGTTCCTATGCGGCCTCCTCTCGAGCAGAGGACTCGTGTGTTAAGTCGCCGGTGGTCCATGTGTTGGCTAAATTGAAAAATTGCAGGGAGTTAGGTCTTCATAACCCTCATCATAACGACTTATTCAGTTCGAAAGTGAATTATTGTGACGTAATGATTCCTTATTGGGTAGCTGATGGGTAGCTATTAAGAATTTTTGTCTTAAGTAGAGAAATCCTGCATAGTTGTAAACCTACTCGCTAGTAAGTGTTTTGATTTAAATATGAAGGATACTACTAATAATAATAATAATAATAATAATAATAATAATAATAATAATAATAATAATAATAATAACAATAATAATAGTAATAATATCAAATTAATTGTAATCTGAGAAAAATGGCAAAAAACGTAGGAGGAATTCTGGCTTTAGCTTGAAGAGACGTATTTTCATATCCCATTTTCATAACGCTGTGAACTTCATTGAATCCTGTCTAAATGTTGTTACCAGAAAGAAAATGCCAATTAAGTCCAAGCTTCGATGTATCCAAAACATATTTATAGAAAAGGCAACGCCTGCGTTGGAGATAAGAACACCGCCGTTACATCTTTAATGGGAGGACAGACCACGACCATACTCTTTCTCGTAAAGCTGCTGTGATAGCCTCCGAAGGTCCAATTAATCTCTTGCAAGGCAGTAACGGAGGTTACAGCAGAAAGCAGCAGTATTACTGGAACTCCCTCTGAGACGTTGCAGCGGGCCTCTGTTTACCCTGCTTGCGTTAGTTCATGTAACATAAAACCACTAGTACTTGTAAAAAAACAACATGAAAGCAGTTGCTGCAGTGAAGGTGTTCGTTGAAAACGCCTTAAATCTTAAGAATTTGTCACGGTTTCCATAAGTAAGGTTTATCTAGTGACAGCTGAAGAAGGCGGCTGTAGGTGTCTGGCAAGGAATAGGCCACCGTGAGGTGTATACATCACTTCATAGCGCGCGCGTGTACATCGAACCAAATAAATGGGTTCTTAACCTGTGCAACACGCGGATCGCCGCAATAATCTGGTAACGCTTCCGATAAACGCGAAATCTTTGCGATACCCAAGTACCCCCGTGACTGGACGGATGGGCTGGACTGGGTTGCGCTAGCGGAAGAGTGGGGGCGGAGGGGGACTGCTCCCGTCGCACCAAGGCCGCTGCAGGGTCCAAAGGTTCTGCTACGTAAGCGGTCGTCGGCCCCGCGCCGGCCTCTAGCACTAGCCCGGTCCCAGCCCCCTTGGGACGACGAGTGCCAACAGCAGCCCAGCTGCAAGATTTATCGCTGAGAATTAACTCGTGAATAATAGTAATGACAAATAATTAAATAAATCCCTTTTAACTTGGCATGTCAATCTCAAGGCGTTTCAAAAATTGGTCACATTTTTGTATTTTCTGGAATACAAAATGTATACCTTTCATTCAAAATTTTCAAATATTGAGGATTAAACACAATTATTAAGTGATTAATGTATTATCTCATAAAGCGGCTGTAAATACCTAATCCATGTTTAAATTTCATTTCATCTCATATCATTGCATTTCTCATTTCAAGCAATTTGCCCTTGTAATTCGGTCAAAAATTGAAACAATTATCGTAAATGTGAACAAAAGGCCGCTTATTCATGTAAATGTTCATATAGTAAACACAAGTTTTGAGGGTAAAACAATATAGAAAACGGATGTCGCAGGAAGTTCATTAAATTAGGTTTGTGAAGGGGAAATTCGTATTTTAAATCAGTTTATGGAGGTGATATTCCTTAAAAAATGATCTATTTTTTTTAAAATCCCAAATACTTCATCCCAAGAGTAAATTTACATTTTTGTCCACTTTCTTTTGTTGCTTGTACACAGTTTAAAAGTACCTTAGAGTGAAAATTTCGATAAATTGATGTAATAAATACGGCGATTTGTTATGTGTTATCCAAACGTCTCTATCTATCATCCTGTGCACAGATAACCCCATTCGTTTATCCAAACGTATTTTAAGCAATTGAGAAAATTTACAAACCAATGCATAGCTAATAAAGCTATTAAATGTATATAAAAGTAAGATCTGACACTCAAATGTTTTCCTTGTTTTCGTTCAATGCCCCGACCTCGACTCTGACCTCTGCCTTTCCACAGTCTTCATCTGTGGCCATGACACATGGCATTCCTTTCTCGAACTTTATCTGAGTCTATTTATGTTATTTAATGTTATAATCACAAACGGTCTATTTGACTTACACTTGCGGTAGATTTCAACAGGTTCGATTCTCGCCGGAACGTTTTACAGACCCGGTGTTATATTTTTCAATCGAATAGAATCGGAAGTATGAGAAATGTGTTACTATACTTGACAATTATAAGCGTAGGTCAGAAAGAGCCTTTAGGTTTTAGAAATTAATGTTGATGACTAGAAATGAATAAAACTGAAGGAAAATTTATAGTGTAAAACCATATTATGTAATATTCTTGGAAGTTGCATGGGAAGTAACACGCTCAAATAAAATATTAGAATTCGAGGCTGATGTTACTCGCTATAACAGGTGAAACGATTAAAATAAGTGATTGAAATGTGTGCGAAAATAAAGTTTTTCGTATCCTCAAAACCCGTATTTGGCAGAGCATTAATACGCCACATGTGAGCTTCGGAGGCCTAGGCCATGAATGAATTTTAGATGACTGGCAACGTCAAGTAAACAAGACAATGTACAAATGACTGATGGCACATTGGCAAAAATATTTATTTTTCGAATACAGAATATTTTTTTCACTTATTGTTAAAATTTATATTAAACACACTTTATGTATTTTGAAATGCGGAGCTGTGAAGTCTTCCGTGCATTGAGCACTCGTGCTAGAGTTTCAACAGTAATTAAAGTGATACCTTTTCATAGAGATTTGCCAGCATAGTAGTTTCATTTAAAACGGTTAGATGCTTCTTTTACATTTTAGAGAGTTCGTACAATTTCTTACGAAACCTTTAATTTTTGAGGAAGTAAACTCTGAATAGCAGCTTCAGCTTCCTCAATTATAATCTTTGGAATATGGACTTCCATACTTCCTAAACAAATTGCCAAAACCTGCTGCAAATTCAACACGCTTTAGCAATTATAACTGTACTGACATCTTCAGAGAAGTTAATGTAGAAGAAAGTCTCACCTATTCGACGAAACCGCATGGTATACACGAGATCTCTCTAAAGAATGCAAACCTAAAATTGGAATGTGACTGTACGAGACGTTGTTTACAGCTCGGCCGAAATCGAATGATTTTTAGACTCTGATAATTTACCAACCTCAGTTCCGTTCCGCCGCCGGTTGGTAAATACCTAATCCAAAATCATTAATTTTGTTTGGCCTTGATAATAAATAACCATTGGCTTGGCACGTATGGGAGATCATTGCGAAACAATACCTAGTAATAAAACAAAATTTTTGTGTGTCGTAGCGAACTCGGACCGAAGGATCGCGGGTTCGAGTCCCGCCTCGGGCATGGTTGTATTGTTTCGTCCTTTCACCCCCTATCATCATTATCGTGTCAACCTACAGTTACCATACCGTTATAAGCAATAGTGGTCGCTAATGACCTAGTAGTTGATGCGACCTTAAATAACAACAAAATTTTTGTATTGGGACAAAGATCTATCTGAAAGTACGTCAACCAAAAAGGGCAATAAGGGAAAGGGCGGTCTCCGGCTCGTTGCCTCGCAGAGGGACGGGGCGGGCCTCGACCTTGTCCTTGGCCCGCAGCGGTGCTCGGCTGGTGCCGCGGGGGCGACCCGCCGCCGCCGCCGCTTCGTAACGTCGTCATACGCCCTCGTGGCCGCATCCCGCGAAGGTCGCCGAGGACGAAACCGAATACCTCTTGGCTGTGACCACGAGAAACCACATCCAGCAGGCACCGCGACTCTCGCTCGTTGCCATGCGCGCGCTCTCGTGGCCTTCCTCGCGTTCGCTTCGCGCTCTCGCGAGCGTCACGCTTCCCGGCGCAGCCGTGCGCATGCGCAGCGCCTGGCTCCGTCGTCCCTCGGGCCCCGGTCCCGGACCCCAGCCCTAGAGCCTCCCTCTTCTGCTGTTGCTTTGTTAGCATGATGCCATTTTTTCTTTGTACAGTGTAATATAATCTTTTCGGTGTGGGTACTAACCTCAAAAATCGTTTCTCTTGCAGATTCATGGTTCAAGCCGGAGAGGCTTCATCCCAGAGGTAAGTTTATACAATGTGTAACAACTTTCTACATAGGTGGAAGGGGCAGAGAAGACGAGATTGAGAGGGAGCATGGTGGGGGTGGAGTAGTTGGGAGATGAAGTAGAGGGAATAAAATCGAGCGTCTGGTGGGTACCGTTAAAACGCGGTCATCGTCGTCGTAGTGACCGAC